TCTGTCTATTGTGGTCAATGGTATATATATATATAATATTTTATTTATTTTAAAATAAATTGATATTTTTTTATTTTTTAATTAAAAGATATTAAAATTAAAATGATAAAAATATTTTAAAAAATAAAATAATATAGATAAAATATTATTCTAGCCAAATTCTGGCTAATTTTTTTTTTTCCCTATATATAAAATGGGAAGAGATAGAAATATGTGATGGTGAGTCATGCTTTTTTCTTGCATTTACTAATCAGCAGCTGCTCAGCCTCGATTTTTTCGGCTTTTATTTTTCAACTTTGAATTTGCGTTTCTCATAGTTTTACTTCTCCATTCATCCGCAATTCCTCTGATTAATAACCTCTAGTAAGTGAGGAGATGGAGCAAGAAATGGCAGAGTTTCTTCCTCTAAACCGAGGATCTAAAATGGAGGATTCAGAGAGGCAAACTTTTTCTCTGATTCCAATTAAAAGTAGAAAGAAGGGTGGACTAATTACCATGCCTTTTATCATAGGTACTGGAGTAGTTTCAAATATTTTGGGGATCTTTTTTGTTATGTTTTATAATTAATTAAGCTAATTTTGAATCATTTCAGCAAATGAGGCACTGGAGAATGTGGCGAGCTATGGGCTTTTACCAAACATGACATTTTATTTGATGAGAGAATACAGGATGGACATTACTACAACCCAAAATCTTCTGTTTTTCTGGTCAGCTACTACTAATTTTTTGCCTATTGTTGGAGCTGTTGTTGCTGATTCATACCTAGGTCGATTCCTTACTATTGGCCTTGGTTCCATCTTCAGTTTCCTGGTATATAACTTTTAACTTAAAACTAATATGTTGCTAATTAGTGTTTTATAGTTTCCGATCTTCTTCTTCTCGTTCGGGTCGAGGTCACCAATTTCTTGTCTTTGTCTGTGTGATCTGTATGATAGGTCACTGTAAAAGCTTGCGCGATAGTAAATATTTGTTGTAATTTTTGGGATATTTTGCGAGTGTGCACCCGAAAAATAGGTTCAGTTGGACCTGTTAACTATACAGTATATGTGTCTATTCCCATAAAACAAGAGGATTGTAGTTAACTCACCTACTTTTAACACTTCAATGCCCTCTTGTTGCAGGGAACAGTAGTGCTGTGGTTAACAGCAATGATTCCGAAAGCAAGGCCTCCGCCTTGCGATCAATCAGGACAGGCTTGTAAATCGACAACGACATCACAATACATGCTCTTGGTTTTCTCGTTTCTGCTCATGTCAATTGGTGCTGGAGGTATAAGACCGTGTTCTTTAGCCTTCGGTGCTAACCAGTTTGACAAGGGAGGTAGTAATCCCAACAAGCATACGGTGTTGGAGAGCTTCTTTGCCTGGTATTATACTTCATCCATAGTCTCTGTTCTGATTGCCCTGACAGGTATCGTTTACCTTCAAGACAGACTGGGGTGGAAAATAGGTTTTGGAGTTCCTGCAATCCTAATGTTCTTATCCGCGCTGTTTTTCTTCCTTGCTTCTCCGTTTTATATCAAGCCAAAGGTTTGCTCAAACGTGTTTGCCAGCTTTATACAAGTACTTGTCGTTGCCTGCAAGAATAGGAAACTCCGCTACCCCAATCAGAACTCTGATTACCATCACAAGAATGGTTCAGGACCTCAAGTGCCAACGGATAAATTGAGATTCTTAAACAAAGCTTGCATCATTAAAGGCCCTGAAGATGTTAAGCTAAATGGAGGTGCAGCCAATCCATGGAACCTTTGCACAGTGGAGCAAGTTGAGGAGCTAAAAGCCCTCATTAGAGTCGTGCCATTGTGGTCGACGGGGATCATGATATCAATAAACTTGAGCCAAAGTTCATTCCCTCTACTACAAGCACAATCCATGAATAGGCATCTAACTAAAGGATTCCAAATTCCAGCAGGGTCATTTGGGATGTTTATGATGATTGCGTTAACAATTTGGGTTTTTCTCTATGACCGAGTGATGCTTCCATTGGCATCGAAGATCAAAGGAAGACCAGTTCGTCTAAAACCTATAGTCAGAATGGGAATTGGCATATTCATCTCTTGCATATCCATGGTAGTCTCTGGTATTGTGGAACACGTTCGACGAAGAAGAGCAATCAATGAAGGGCTCTTGAACAACTCACATGGGTTGGTGGAGATGTCAGCATTGTGGCTCGTTATACCAAACAGTTTAAATGGGATCGCAGAGGCATTCAGCGCGATCGGCTCCACAGAGTTCTATTATTTGGAGCTCCCAAAGAGTATGTCAAGTATTGCATCTGCTCTTTTAGGACTGGGAATGGCAGTGGCAAGTCTTTTAGCAAGTGTGATTTTGAATGCTGTGGATAAGTACACCAAAGGAGAAGGAACAGAAAGTTGGGTTTCAAGCAATATCAACAAGGGACACTATGAGTATTACTACTGGCTTCTTGCTCTATTGACAGCTTGTAATCTGCTTTATTTTGTGGCTTGTTGCTGGCAATATGGACCTTCTGCTGATGTTGACATCACTAAGAGAATGATGGAGCTTAGTGATGATGATGATCATCTTCCATAGTGGAAAGACTCAGGCAAACTCAACTGAAAAAACTCAGGTAAACTCGGTGAAATGCGCCAAATTATGCTTGTTTACCACAGTCAAATTATACATTGAGATACTAATATACACTTATGAAGCTATAAAGCTTATGAAAATGATGTGTGGTCTTCACTTATTGATTTGATGCCTGTTTATGGTTTGGAGGTGAGCAAGGTTTGGAACAACTCACCTTCCCCGTAGCATTTCGAGGCAGCGAGTCCCACACAGACAGGCAGTAGGTATCTGTTACATAAGTTGAACGACAAACATTAGTTTAGCAGGCATATCTTGGTACTCGAGTATAACATTTATCTTGCATAAGAACCAAATCACAAAACAATACTTTCTGTCCCAAGTTATAGTTAATCAATATCAACAAAGTAAGCGCATAAATTCCTTATCCCTGGAATGGAAGCAGAAAGAAGTCATGGAAATAATTATTCTCGTTAAGAAAGATTCAAAAGGGGAATGAGGCAAGAATATGCCTTCTGAAAAGTTTGCATAATCTCTTGTAAACAATGATATTGTATAGGCAGATGATATTCAGAATATCGATTGGTATTGAAAGAAGTATCAATGAACATACCTATCAGCTAGCTCTAACTTTTTTAAGGACAACGGAATAGGAGAGTGTCTAACCTAATACAAAGAGCAAAGGAGCCTAATAAACTACACAATAGAATTTGAAAATGCATTCTATTTCCTTCATTGTTTCTGATTCATTTAACAGTCAGAATTAGTTATTCCATAAAGGATTACAAGTCTTTAGCACCCCACCCTACATCAACAACTAAGCTTAAATGCTACCAAGGTATCGGCTATATGAATCCTCAGACTATGGTGTTGCATTTAGAGCAATATCATACAAAACAAAAATAGAAACAAAAAGGCAATGTTCGTTTCTCCTTGCCCCACCCGAATAAAATAATAAGAAAATACAATACTATTAGCACAAAATTTAATCGCCAAGAGCAAAATCTTCGTTATAGATAAGCTAAATGCCATACGAGATTGTTTGAAAGTTAACAAAATTCAAATTGTTACCATTTCTCAATCTCAACAAAGGCGAATGATGCACATGAAAAATTAATAATTCCATTTTGATTGGGCGATCGCATATAAAAACACAGAGAATGAGAATTATTGAAATTGACAAGGTTCGATGAAGAACAGAATAACATTCACTTACCGGAAGTGAAAAGCCGAAAGGTAGGGTTTGTAGGAGAAGAAAAACAATATGCATTGAAAAAGGGAGAGCAATTGAAACGAAAGTGGTTGAGTAACTCTTCTGTTTGCCCTTCACCTCTCCAAATTCAATACTGCCGACGGTCAGGTGATCGGGAAAATTTTGCACAAGGCGCCGATTGTAAAGTGGTTGCTGCCTAATACGGTTAACTGGTAGTAGTAGTAGTAGTGATGGGTCCTTTTAATTAATTAATTTATTTTGTATAGAGCGCTTTAATTGGTTGTTGATCAACAAAAAGAATGAGAAGAAAAAGAGAGTGAAGATAATTGGGCCTAGAGCATTTCTTTAAATAAAAAGAAAATTTCATTATAACTGAAATGGAACAATATTACAAACAGGTGCTTGAATTAAAAGGATATAAACTTCAAACATGAAAAGAATTTGGTAAAAAATTAAAAATTACAACCTTAATTTAAACAAGGGAAAAGGGTCAAAAATGCCCTTATACTATGTGAAAGAAACAAATATGCCCTCCGTTTATAGTTTGGCTCAGAAATGCCCTTACCGTCAATACTTTGGCTCAAAAATGCCCTTGCAGTCAATACTTTGGTCCAGAAATGCCCCTATAGTTAAAAAATGGGTCAAAAATGCCCTTTTCTGAATAAATATATATTTTTTTTCTTTTTAAACACATATTTTTCCTGATTAAAATATTATTAAAGAACACTATTCTTGTTTTCTTTCTTTTAAAATCACTTTAACAAATAAAAGTGTAGGAAATATTTTTTTTCTTCTTAATCTCATTTTATCAATTAAAATAGAATAACTTCATGTACCCTTTCGACAAATAATATATGTCATATATATACTACCATGGTATATCCATCATTAATTTATATTTATATAACGATAAAAAAATAATGATAATAAAATAAGAAATATTTTCATTTTTTATTTTTTTCTATACTGAAGTAAGATAAGCATTTGCTAATTTTTAAAAAAAACATTCATTGAAAAAGAATGTGTTAAAAAGAAATAATAATATATTATTTGGAAAATGAGTCTGATCAATTAAATAACAAATAAGGGTATTTTTGGACCAAAGTATTGACGATAAAGACATTTTTGGACCAAACTACAAACGGAGGGCATTTTTGTTCCTTTCGCATAGTTTAAGGGCATTTTTGAACCAAAGTATTGACGGTTAGGGCATTTTGAGCCAAACTATAAACGGAGGGCATTTTTGTTCCTTTCACATAGTTTAAGGGCATTTTTGACCCTTTTCCCTTTAAACAATAACAAAAATCAGTACTCTTCAATTTACTTGTACATGGATTGTACTGAGGGAGCTTGATTCATTTGCTGGTTTCCATATTGCTGCTGAGCAACGATGCCATTCCAACCTCCATTAAGTTTTACAGACCCATATTAACAATTTGATTCTCTTTAAAATGTCACTCTTATAAGTTAATAGAGGTGTATCTCATTATTTTCGACTTGAACTATATATGTACTTATGTGAAAAACATTTGAAAATGCATGCATATAATAAGATTACGTTCATTCTGAACTCACTGACTCTAGTTTCTAGATTTGCCTATGACAAAGCAGAACATTAATAGGAAAGACGATTTCATACCTAGAGCTGGATCGAGTCCCCTAATACGAAGCTCTCTGAACTCTTGACAGAGTGAACAAAATGGACAAAAGATGTGAGAAACTACATCTGAATAGGGAGCTTCCACCAGATTGTACCTCTGCCTCAACTTTGTTCTGTATTTGGAGCCCATGATCCATTGAGAGCAAACAGCAGGCATCATCAAGAGGTACATAAAAGACCCCAATGGACAAGCTGCAACCATCACCCAAAAAACACAAAGAATTACTAACACACTTCTTTTAAAAGGCAAATTGGATAGATTTAGAGAATAACTCACTCATTTCTCCTGCATCTTGAACTTCAGCTATCTGTCCAAACGTCACACAAGGTAAAAACGCTGTCATGGCAGCTGCACAAACAACAATGTTTAATATTAATATCATTGCTACATAATAGCTACAGTATCTAAAAGGAGGAGAGTTGTAGTAGGCTGACAACCAGCGTAAAACTAGTCAATTTATGATGAATCCTTCACCTCATGATTGTTGGGTTATGAAGGGTGATTAGGACGTCATGCAAAAGTTTACAATTGCAAATAATATGATTGATAAATTAGACGACACATAAAACTATACTAAAGGGCATAATATTATTATATGATAGGACCAATTGACCTAAATAATTAAAAACTAATAAAAACATAAAAACTGTTGAGAGAAAATCTCTCATAAACAAAACTCTTTAAATGTCTACATTGTGGATATTATTGTGTTATGCTATGAGAATAGGGATCTTCAATTTATAGATCTCCAAACTTTTCCTCCAAGGAAAGAATAAACCATTAAATATGGGAAAAAATTTTGGGGCATAAAGTACGGTTTCACCAAAATCATCTTTGTCAAACTTCCCAGATTTAATTTCATCTCGAATTAGCTAAAAAGATTACCCAAGTCAAAAAGCACACCCAAAAGTAGGAAAAATTTAGGCATGGATACAAGGACTACTCCATTTGTTTCATTTTTTAAAAACGTTTAATAACTAGAACAAACATACAAGTAGTTGACAAAAAGAGTATCTGATTAGATAAATGAAAGTACCTAAAGCCACATGATGCAAAGCAAAGAGCACTTGTCCTTAATGAAAAATGCACTTCTGTGTGAAAAACATTCTACTTAAGTATGATAATTTAGGTAATTAGTAAGTTGGTCCAAAAGAGGTAGAATTATGACATTACACTCTCATAGGAGCAAACCTAATAAAAAATGAAATGTCAACCACAAATTCAGGAAGTCTTGGTTTTTGCGCTGGGATTAACTCTTCATCAATCAAAAGCAAGTTTCACAAACAAAGAAGATTAAATCGTTTCCAGTGCACACATACAAAATAGTTCCTTGGAAGTTCAGAATACAGTTCCTTTTTTATTCAAAAAATGGACAATCCAGAAATAGCATATTCAATCGGTTCAAGAAACCAAAAATAGAACAGAAAGAACCGACTGAAAGAGTTCAGTTTACTCATTATAAGAACACAGCGGAAAGAACTAGTTGAAGCGGGGGAAATAAATGTCAGCGATTTGGAGACAATTATTATTGTCTTAGATGTAAAAGGAAGTACTCAATGCCTTCAAAAAGGCAATATCATGGGTAACTTGTTTGTTTACTCACTTTACCTCAGCTTATTTAAGCGTGCATAACAATGTAAACTCACAACCATTTATGTGGTCGTGAGATCAATTCTTACTTTGTACCAAGGCAATTTATAAAACACATGTTGAACGTGTGAATGCTATGGGCAAATGAATACTTTATAGTCATTGCCCGTTTCCTCTGTACAAAAATATTGGCCATAACTGATATTACTCTCCTCAGAACCTACAAACCAAACCACCAAAGCAACCAAAAAAAAAAAAAAAAAACAGCCATGGGGACAGAAACAAGTTCAACATTAAAACTTCCTCTGTTTTCAGTAAATTCAGCTGAGGATTTAGGGATGTTACCCCCTCTTCACACTTCAGCTTCAATTCCAATTTCGTGGGAAGAAGAACCTGGAAGGCCTAGCCCATGTACTGACCTTATCCCTCTTCCGAACTCCATTAATTTCCATGAGCCCAAATTATGCTTAAAGGCACATCCTAGGCTTTACATGGAATCTACCAAAAGTTCTTCTTCCACAACTCTTTTTTTTATGGGGAGTGTCAATGGTCAAAACACAACTTTACCAGCTTGCTTATGTTTTCGTTCTTTTTGCATCAAATGTTTTCTCCATCAAGAGAAACTAGTGATGCAAATGCGAGAAATGTAATAATAAGACATACCTTCCTGAGGAGAATGGCAATGTCAGCTTGAGAATCTTCAATGGACTGACTGCCACATTCTGTACACCTAACATTGTGGCTGATATTTCTTGCTCTCGTCTCTACTAACCTCTCCTTCGTCACCTGAGCCTCTTCCCCTTCCATGGAAATATATAATCAAATTTTCTGCTCAATAACAAAGTTTCCAAACAAGCTGTAAACAAGTGATAGAGTAACCAAATAAGAACTTAATCAAGAAAATCCAAATTTTCAGCTACGCATTTTATCAAACACCTCACATGCACAGTACCCAACTATACCAATACAACACAATTATGCACAAATAGTATATTTAGGGTAGCAAGCAAACATATGCAATAGAAAAAGTAGCGATTGAACTTTAACAACCATCGGATTTCACTATATTTCAGTCAAGAACACTTTCGGACCTCTATATATGGATTATGCAACTTAGCATGGCAGAAAAAATAAAATTAAAAAAACAGCAACATAAAATTCACAAAAATATCAAAAAGGGGAAGAAAAATATAGAAAAAATCACCAATTTGAAGCTTTCCTTTGACGAAAAAAAAAACAGTAGATACCTGTGATGGGAGAGGAACAATATGGCGAAGCTGGAAATAGCGGGGCGGGTTGGACGGGCCATTAATGTTTGGGCCAAATATGTGTCTAGTGATTATGGGCCATGGGCCTATAATGATAGTATATGGGCCTAAAATGATTCTGAACCAAATAAATCACGCAGCCCAACATTTTAGTCCGGAAAAACCCGAAAGGTTGGAATTACACTGGTGGCGGCAAACGAGTAGATAAAATCAATCTTGGTATTCCCTCCGTTCCACATTAGATGGACACTTTATATTTTACATGATGATTAAAAATTATTAATAGACTGATCGACTTTACTATTTTGACTCTTGTTCATATCAATGTACATAAATAAGTTAGATAAAATATACATAGAGTATAGGAATAACTAGTATTGAGAAATGTTTAAACTTTCAAAAGTCATATTGGTCGTAAGGGTAAAATGAGAAGAAAAAATTAATTTTATCATAATTTAGTAAATGATCAAGTATAGTGGTCATTTAATATGGAATGGAGGGGATAACAATTTCTGCATATCAGCTGTTTATACCTAATCACACCAACTAACCATGGTTAAGAATTTATGAGCTGATAATTTAAAGTATTTACTTATATATCAGCCTGGCCCGGATGAGCTTGTTGGTTTGTGGGACTTGTGCAATATGGTTTGAGGCTTTGAGTCAGCCTGTGGGCTAAATAAAATATAATTAAAAATTAAAAAATAAATGGAATATTAAAAAGAGAATTTTTTATAATTGACATACATAATACTAAATATTATTAGTTATGACATTATTCTTTATGTTTCAAGTTTTAACATTTAAAAATTACAGGCTATTTAAAGTTTGAAATATTAAAATTTAGAATCATCAAACGTGATGTACTCAATATTTCTATTACTACTAATCATCATTCAATATTGATGGACATGTACTCACCAAGTATATAAGTTGCATCTATCATGAAAATATTCAAACACTTGTAGCTACTCGAAATCAGTTGCATGATTTTTCTCAAACCGATAACATTTTTCTTTGTATATTTAAATACTATACGTAATTCTTAAATTTAGTTATTTTTTAATATTTAGCTAATTGATATTGCATATAAACTGTATATTAAAATTAAGATATCCTGTCGATATTTATGTTAATATTTTTAAATTATAATTTGATTTAAAAAAAATATACATTTTTTAAAAGTGAGATGACCCGATACAGTTCGAAGCCCACGTACTGGTTGGTTGGGCTGAATGTTTACTTGCCCACAAAAAAATGAGTCAATCTAGACTGACTCGTCAATTTCAAGACTTGTATGGGCTAGCCCGAATGGGACGACCAACTCATATTGATAGCTCTGTTTGAAATGTTTATTCTAGGAAAAACTACATAAATTCCACTAGTTTAGTATTTAATTACTAAGATTTTTGATAGTTTTAAATATTACTTTCTCTACCATATTTCATCCTTAGGATACATGAGTTTGAATTCGCAAGATACATGTATTTGCCGAATGTGCTTAATTCTGTAAATTTAAATTAATCAAATCCCTTAATATAAGACAGAAATCAAGGAGTGTATCTATGTTTAATTTATTTTATTTTATTATTCTTTGAGATAGGAGTAATAAATTTATTAATATTATTACTAAAAAACAAAAACATGTATTTCATGGTCATGTAATTTGATTAATTTCATTTTATTACTTTTAAAATAATAAATTCATTGATTTGATGAATTTATTATCAATTTATGATGTATCGAACAAATTAAACACTTAGATACATGAGTATCATACAAGTACATTCATATGTATCATAGAAGTATCTAGTATTAATTTCATGTATTTGTTATATTAGCTTCAAAGGGGAAGAGAAGAGATGATTCAATCTTTATTTTTGATGGAACTTTTAATTGGGTTTGGGTTAAGGGATGTGGGTATGGGTCAGGTGGGTAGGATAAAATTTTGGTGGGTTGATATTAAAAATTATCCAATAGAAAGATGCCACATAATAATTAATAGAAATAATAATTCAAAAACAAAAGGCTGTTAGTTTTAAGGGTAATAATGGACCAAAAAGATGGACTGAAGGGTATTTTTAGCCCAATAGATGAATGAGGGATATATTTAAACCTTTTCTGATAGTTCAAGGATATTTTTGACACTTTTCCGTATATAAAATGGGAAGAGATATAGAAATATGTGATGGTGAGTCATGCTTTTTTCTTGCATTTACTAATCAGCAGCTGCTTCCACTTCCCCATCATTATTCTGTCTGTAGATTCAGCAGTCCTCGATTTTTTCGTCTTTTTTTTTTCAATTTTGAATTTGCGTTTCTCATAGTTTTACTTCTCCATTCATCCCCAATTCCTCTGATTAATAACCTCTAGTAAGTGAGGAGATGGAGCAAGAAATGGCAGAGTTTCTTCCTCTAAACCGAGGATCTAAAATGGAGGATTCAGAGAGGCAAACTTTTTCTCTGATTCCAATTAAAAGTAGAAAGAAGGGTGGACTAATTACCATGCCTTTTATCATAGGTACTGGAGTAGTTTCAAATATTTTGGGGATCTTTTTTGTTATGTTTTATAATTAATTAAGTTTATTTTGAATCATTTCAGCAAACGAGGCACTGGAGAATGTGGCGAGCTATGGACTTTTACCAAATATGACATTTTATTTGATGAGAGAATACAGGATGGACATTACTACAACTCAAAATCTTCTGTTTTTCTGGTCAGCTACTACTAATTTTTTGCCTATTGTTGGAGCTGTTGTTGCTGATTCATATTTAGGTCGATTCCTTACTATTGGCCTTGGTTCCATCTTCAGTTTCCTGGTATATAACTTTTAACTTAAAACTAATATGTTGCTAATTAGTGTTTTATAGTTTCCGATCTTCTTCTTCTCGTTCGGGTCGAGGTCACCAGTTTCTTGTCTTTGTCTGTGTGATCTGTATGATAGGTCACTGTAAAAGCTTGCGCGATAGCAAATATTTGTTGTAATTTTTGTGATTTTTTGCGAGTGTGCACCCGAAAAATAGGTTCAGTTGGACCTGTTAACTATACAGTATATGTGGCTATTCCCATAAAACAAGAGGATTGTAGTTAAGTTACCTACTTTTAACACTTCAATGCCCTCTTGTTGCAGGGAACAGTAGTGCTGTGGTTAACAGCAATGATTCCGAAAGCAAGGCCTCCGCCTTGCGATCAATCAGGACAGGCTTGTAAATCTACAACGACATCACAATACATGCTCTTGGTTTTCTCGTTTCTGCTCATGTCAATTGGTGCTGGAGGTATAAGACCGTGTTCTTTAGCCTTCGGTGCTAACCAGTTTGACAAGGGAGGTAGTAATCCCAACAAGCATACGGTGTTGGAGAGCTTCTTTGCCTGGTATTATACTTCATCCATAGTCTCTGTTCTGATTGCCCTGACAGGTATCGTTTACCTTCAAGACAGACTGGGGTGGAAAATAGGTTTTGGAGTTCCTGCAATCCTAATGTTCTTATCCGCGCTGTTTTTCTTCCTTGCTTCTCTGTTTTATATCAAGCCAAAGGTTCGCTCAAACGTGTTTGCCAGCTTTATACAAGTACTTGTCGTTGCCTGCAAGAATAGGAAACTCCGCTACCCCAATCAGAACTCTGATTACCATCACAAGAATGGTTCAGGACCTCAAGTGCCAACGGATAAATTGAGATTCTTAAACAAAGCTTGCATCATTAAAGGCCCTGAAGATGTTAAGCTAAATGGAGGTGCAGCCAATCCATGGAACCTTTGCACAGTGGAGCAAGTTGAGGAGCTAAAAGCCCTCATTAGAGTCATGCCATTGTGGTCGACGGGGATCATGATATCAATAAACTTGAGCCAAAGTTCATTCCCTCTACTACAAGCACAATCCATGAATAGGCATCTAACTAAAGGATTCCAAATTCCAGCAGGGTCATTTGGGATGTTTATGATGATTGCGTTAACAATTTGGGTTTTTCTCTATGACCGAGTGATGCTTCCATTGGCATCGAAGATCAAAGGAAGACCAGTTCGTCCAAAACCTATAGTCAGAATGGGAATTGGCATATTCATCTCTTGCATATCCATGGTAGTCTCTGGTATTGTGGAACACGTTCGACGAAGAAGAGCAATCAGTGAAGGGCTCTTGAGCAACTCACATGGGTTGGTGGAGATGTCAGCATTGTGGCTCATTATACCAAACAGTTTAAATGGGATCGCAGAGGCATTCAGCGCGATCGGCTCCACAGAGTTCTATTATTCGGAGCTCCCAAAGAGTATGTCAAGTATTGCATCTGCTCTTTTAGGACTGGGAATGGCAGTGGCAAGTCTTTTAGCAAGTGTGATTTTGAATGCTGTGGATAAGTACACCAAAGGAGAAGGGACAGAAAGTTGGGTTTCAAGCAATATCAACAAGGGACACTATGAGTATTACTACTGGCTTCTTGCTCTATTGACAGGTTTTAATCTGCTTTATTTTGTGGCTTGTTGCTGGCAATATGGACCTTCTGCTGATGTTGACATCACTAAGAGAATGATGGAGCTTAGTGATGATGATGATCATCTTTCATAGTAGAATGACTCAGGCAAACTCAACTGACAAAACTCAGGTAAACTCGGTGAAATGCGCCAAATTATGCTAGTTTACCACAGTCAAATTATAAATTGAGATACTAATATATACTTATGAAGCTATAAAGCTTATGAAAAAGATGTGTGGTCTTCAGTTATTGATTTGATGCCTGTTTATGGTTTGGAGGTGAGCAAGGGTTGGAACAACTCACCTTCCCCATAGCATTCCGAGGCAGCGAATCGAGTAGGTATCTGTTACATAAGTTGAACGACAAACATTAGTTTAGCAGGCATATCTTGGTACTCGAGTATTACATTTAT